TATCAACCGGTATGTCTACTACATTAGACATTTCAACATAAATGCTATATCATGCCCTCTTATCGATATGGTTTACTTTGGTGTCGTTGAAAAGAAAAACACAGGAAAATTTCGTCTCATCCATCATTTAAGCTTTCCATAAGGGTCGTCACTCAATGATTCAATTCCTGATTCTCATTTTAGAGTTGAATATTCGACAATTGCCATATCATATATTAAAAAAACAACAAACCCATTTTTTAGCCAAATGTGACATTGAGTCAGCTTTCCGCATAATACCGGTTCATCCAGATGACCGCCCCTTTTTAGGTTTTCAGTGGAATTCACAATATTATTTTGATAAATGTCTCCCAATGGGTCTGTCTGAAAGCTGCAAGATTTTTGAGGAATTGAGCTCAGCATTAGAATGGTTGGCTTTGAACAAGTTGGGGGCTTCTAGTGTAGTGCATGTTTTAGATGATTTTTTTTTTCATTGAACCTTCCAAGTCCAGGTGTGATAGAATGTTGTCTGATTTTCAAAACTTGTGCCAAACAATTAGGCTTCCTCTTGCCCCAGATAAGACATTTGTCCCTGATCAGGTCTTACCATTTTTAGGCATTACTCTTGACACATTGAAGTATATGGCACGTTTACCTCCAGACAAAGTACGTTATTGCAAATAACTCACTAGAGCTTTCCAGTTTCGTAAGAAAGTTACCTTAAAAGAAATTCAATTCCTTATCGGTACCTTACAATTTGCCACTTCAGTGGTTAGTCCAGGCTGTCCATTTTGACGGGGGTTAATTGACCTGACAATTGGGGTCCAAAAACCGTATTTTAAAGCTAGACTTACGTCTGAGGGCAGAGCAGATTTGAAAACATGGTTTTATTTCTTGAACACTTTTAATGGTAGGAACTTTTTCCTTGAGGAAAAATGGTTGTACAGCGACCATCTCCAATTTCATACTGACGCATGTTCGACGTTATATTTTGGTGCTATGTTTGGGGATCAGTAGTTTTTCTACCCTAACCACTCTCTTGGCGGCATCATTAGCACCTTCAACTCATAGAATGTATTCACGGCCTTTGGCGGATTCTCAGTGACTTTGCAGTCAAAGTTTTAAACTATCCCTTAGTCGTTCCTGTTCCTTTTTCTGTCATTGCTCTCTATGTAGCTCATGCACATATACTTAAGTTGGCTTCAACAACTATCAATTCTCACATGTTTGCTATAGCATATATACATCATATTCTTGGTTATTCAGACCCAACAAAAGCTTTCATTGTTCAAAAAGCCATACAGGGATCAACACACATATCCCAATCGTTCGATATTGGACTTCCCATCACAAAACAAATTTTATATAGACTTATTCAGGCTCTGCACAATACGGTTAGTTTGAACTTTGACAAAGTGTTATTTAAGGCCGTTTTTACCACAGCCTTGCACGTCTTGGCGAGGTTTCGCCCAGTCAGTCTTCTCAGCATGCACGAGTGTTACAAATCGGTGACATAGAATTCACACAACACGAAAACACCTCCAACTCTGTGTATGTTTCCATACCTCCAAGCATAATCAAAGTGGAAAGCATCATACAGTCCCTGTTGCGAGCAGCAGCAATAAAGATTTGTGTCCCGTTGAGGCTATGTTAGGTTACCTCAAATTACGAGGTCCCAAATCCGGGGTCTTATTCATGAATAGCCTTGGTATACCGTTACAACGAAATATTTCGATGATGTCACTATGAAGTGTCTGCATGTGGCCGGGCTTGTTCACGCTACAAGGGGCATAGCTTCAGGATAGGAGGGGCGACCTTAGGTGCAAATAGGGGAACGTCAGATTCACAAATTCGTGTCCTAGGCAGGTGGCATTCTGATGCTTTTAAAAAGTACATTCGTACATCTGCTATATCTAACTGAAGGCTAAGCATTAATTAGAATTAGATCACCACCTACTACTTGTACCTCTCTGTTTTGTTGCGGAGGTCACATCATGGAGAGTTGCGTGGAGTTGTCTGGTGATAGGGTTGTTAGGTTCCAATAAACAGGTTGGTGTCCAGAACACCGGTACATATACCTCTCCTTTTTGACGCGGTCTCTTAAGGGAGAGTTACATGTGGGTCCTGCTGTTAAGATTGTTACTTAGGATATTATATTTTTTCATGCTTGTGCTAACTATTATTTAGTTCAGCAGTGAGGAAATTCGTAGCAGGTTTAACTCGTTTTACCTGTGCTGAATATGGCCTGTGATGTATTTTATAAACAGACATGCTGTCCACTTTGTGCCATTGGCTTGTTGTATAAGGCTCAAAGACTTTTTCACTAGTTTGATCACTGATTGTGCCACTGAACTTTAATTGCCCTTTGTAACTCTGTCATATACTACATATTCCATGTCACTTTTATTCTGTATATACACTTGGTGTTATTTCATGAACTATACCTTTGACTCCCTATTTTTGTGTAGTTTGTTGGCTGGTTTTGGTAAAGATTTGATCCATTCCTCTCGGGTGGCGCCTGGCCTCCTAGGCCAGTATTGCGTAGTTTCGTTTACCTTTGCTCCAAATAGGTTATACAACTTCCCTATTCTAAAAAAGGGTATGCCAAGATTTTAGAGTCAATGTGATTGTCCGGTATTCTTTTCTTGACATTTAGAGCAAACAGCTCGAGGTATGGATCATTTCGTTCATACTTTAGCAGGACAAAAATTGTGTTTGCATGTAGCGGAGGATCGATACTCTACTGTTATTTCCCAATATCACGATGTTCGTTAAGCTGTAATAAAAGATTACAACCATGATAATTAATCCTTACAACGACAGAAAGTGATTTGCCGATCAAAACGCGTAACGCTCTTCCTTTGTCGGTAAAGAAATTTACCACCTTCGATTGAGTGAAAACATAATGTCAACATTTCTCATTGGTCGCCAGAGGTGGCCTTCATGTCTCTTTCATCCATGGTTTTACACGTCTTATCCTCATATTTGTAGGCTTTTAAGGTATGAATGACATTAGTTCTGATTTCATTTGGTTCTTTTTTGCGATATGAAATGCAGTGTTCAGAACCTATACTGCCTGTCGTTTTTACCTCCACGATTTCAACAGGAATCTGCATCAATGATAAATATGGAAGGATGAAATTGTTTGATATCATACAGAATTGTCGATTTAATAATCAAATACTGGTTACTTGTAGAATGACGAATTTTTCATAAAAAGTATTATCTATGGAAATAGCAGTGTTCCCCTGCAGATTTTAATTATTTCAAAATTTCAAATGTTCAGGAAAGTGCCTACAATTGCATAAATTTGCATTGAAAAGACCTGTTGTAATTACATCCTCAATGGTAGGGAAAGTCTTTTACACTTTGATGTATGTTTGATGGAAAATGCAAACCATAACAATATTGGCATGGTTTTCGTGACGAGTCTATCTTAACCGATAAAGAAAGGTTATCCCACCGTAAGATCTAAAACCAGCACTCATCCATCCCCATAATTATTAGATTTAAAAACCACCTTAATCTTACATACAGATCTGAAGTATCAGAATGACCACTTTTTGTTCACACGCCATCCATATGACTTTTACATATTTGATACATCTCAAGTTCTACCAATTGAAACTTTTCATACTAGTCTGAAATAATCCTTAGATGGTCCTTGTCAACCATTTGTCGGTTCGATTATACCAAATAAGGCTGCGATGTTGAATTTTGAAATTATTGAGCAAAAGAGAGCGCGTAGAAAATGATGTCAACAAAGCGTGGTCATACTTTTGCTTCAGCACACTTCGACAGGAATGGCGCGATCATGACTTTCCAGAACAATGCCTATCATTTATCTCAATATCCATTCTTAAGATTCAGCCTGAAATGATTCGGAGATGGCTAAAATTGTTTTAAGCTTCCATAATGTCATTAGTAACATTCACCTGAAAGCATGTTGGTGTATTAAGAGACTGAAATAAAGAAAGTGTTGTTTTATAATCTTTACTGCTAAAATTCAGCAATGTTTGAATACTTTAATCGATAGTGTTATTGCCACTACTGCTATTATCCTGATGTTGTTAGGGAATTGATGACTACTTTTCGATATCCCTAACTCAATCACTCAACCCTGAAGGTTATAATAAAGCTGACTGTAATCATTCAGAAGGAATCTACAGTTAACATTAATTTTGGAAATTAATTACTTATTTATACTTTGTATCGATCTTGAGACCATTATTTGCTAATATACCTTCAACATAAAGTGATATAAAACATATAACTTCACTCCCAAAGGAAATATTGAAAAATCTATCGAATCGCAACAATAATTTCCAAGGACTAGCTGGTAACAATTCTCTTATATATCTAAAACCAAATGAGTTAAAACCACAGTATCATTAATGATCAAAGACTTATCAAGAGACGAGTCACTGACGCACAATGGGCAAAATACCGTACACTGCTACGTTTATCATATCAGGTATGTTATCTGCTCCTGAATTGATTTAAAGAATATTTTTATTTCAGAATTTAAGATGTAACTTTATTTTATCACAATTTCTAAGAAAAGTCCGGTTATAGTTTAAATTTTATATATTATATCGTTCTATATCAATATAAACGGTGTTATGAGTGTGTTGTGCGATCTTGTTTTATTAGACATGCTCGAAAAAGAACAAAACTAAACATAAACATGATAGTAATTCTTGAACACGTAGAGCTATACCAAATATGTATCTTATCTGTCGATTTTTGTATTGATGCATAAAGATATATAGAGTTATATACTCCTAAATAATGCATTATGTATATAATTTCTAAATGTTAATGTAACATTTCATGTATGTTTTCATTTTATTAAAAACGATATAGAAAAAAGTCATTCTTTGTTTGTAAGGTGAGTACATTTAGTGAACATGTAATTGATAGGGGTGGAGCGATGGGTTTAACTGTAGTAGAGACAAAAATATAATGATGATATATGTAAATCATTGGATTCAAATACAATTCTCGTTGTGTCAACAGGAATGGTGAGCGTGCTTGCTGGACATACCATTAATATCGAGAATTTTAAGCATGTAATTGAACTACAGGATAGAATAGAGATCAAACACGGCATCTCCGACCATACTGTAAACTCGCTGTCGGGATGTGCTGCTCTGTGTCTTGGTAACGGAAACTGTTGGTCGTTATTTTACAATCACGTGACCCTTATGTGCCGTCTGAACAAAAACCCTTTCCTTGATGTCAGTGAAACTTCAAGTCAATCTGGTTTTCAACACTATAGTAGAGGTAAGCTGTCCACCAATGTGTTTTCGTTATCTTATTTACACATGACATTATGAAAAATACCAACCAAGAAGAAACATTAACATTTGTTTAGTATATGGAATATACCAAAAAGTTGCCAACCTCGAATTATCTATTTATAAATACATTTATTATTAATATTCTTTCGTTCAGAGTTCCGTGAAAATACGTCTCCTCAAATACTACATACCTCCAAGACTTTGTCTTTGATGAATATCTGATATTGAAATATGTCTCTTCATATTTTTCAGTGTTCTGTGAAAATACGTCTCCTCAAATACTACATACCTCCAAGACTTTGTCTTTGATGAATATCTGATATTGAAATATGTCTCTTCATATTTTTCAGTGTTCTGTGAAAATACGTCTCCTCAAATACTACATACCTCCAAGACTTTGACTTTGATAAATGGAATTCCCGCCTTATCCTTTACGTGTAACGTAAATACTATCGAAGTAAGTGGAGACGGAGACATGAAATGTGATCTCGGAACTCTTCAATGGACTTTCGCAACCATTATCTGTCTAGGCAAGTAAAATTAAATCATGAAATACTTTTTCAAATGTAGCTATTTTGGAACAATATGTATTCGTTCCTTGCCTGATGAGACTTACGTTTTCCTAACGGGATGTTGACAGTCCGTCTTTCGTGGTTTACTTTAACAAATGCTTATGCTCCAAACTTAATTTGGCGCAGTCAAATTCAAGACTGTCATTACATTTTTGCAACTTAAGTAAATAATTTTCAGCATTTATAAACTGCAGTAAGTGCAATAATATTTTAAGGCAATATTTTTAGAGCGAAAACCGCTGAAATAATATTACCTTTAAAATCTACAGTAGTCAGGAATGGCTGTATAAATATTGGAAAAAACATATTTAGTATATTGTTTTGAAAGGGTCCCACATAACACTAGATTTCCTGTCAAATAGTTTAAGTTTCGCATCCGATTTGGATATTTACGAGGTTCAAGCTCCAATAGTGTTATGGAGGTAGCCATGGACACGAGGTTAAACGCACACTTGCCCGCCTCCGCTGGGTGAATTCATACAAGGAAGCATCATACATGTACCTTCATAAGGCAAATATCTATACGTTAGGTTTACCTTACATTGACATTTCACTTATTTGGTTAAAATAAGACATGTTATTGTTTAAGTCAAGATAATTTGACTGGTTTGCTGTATAATTAATGTATAGTATACTTCGTTTAGACTTATCAGCGTACAGTGCAATGGGTTATACAGAATTGTGCGGCACAGAGTCTGTTCTGAAGTTTGTCGGAAACAAAGTGACATTTGATGTTGGAAAATCCAGCTGCATGGGTGACGGTGCTCAATTGGCTCGACCCGTGACGAGTATTCGTTGGAATTGTCTTGCAAACTTCGCTTTTTCAAGAAGTAAGTTTATATGACAATTGTCTACCTGAAAACAATGTCAAACTTGCGTTGACATTTTAAACAGGACCTGGTGATTGGGTTATTTGCTTAGAATATGTATAATATATATAAAATACATGATGCTGATTGACCTTTTTAAGAATAATCCGATATGACAGTGTCATCGTTTTATATTTGGTTATCGGGTTGTAACTCTTAATGTACCATACCGCTGTCCCCATGGTTTGATAGTAACCTTTCTCTGAACACGTTTCTTTCAAATTTTTATTGACATTCACCATGACAAATGTCAACCTTTATATCATCTTCGTTTTATCAGTATTTGTCAGTTCCTATTTGGTATTAATGCCTTGTTTGACATTTTTCTGATGTTCGTTTGGTTGTAAATGATTGGAAAACAATAACAAAGCAAGGGTTATATGCTTTTTTCTGGAATTTTTTGTTCGGGCTAGAAAGGTAAATAGAATATCAGTTCATATAACACAAGCCATAGAGAGTGACGTTTCGATGAGTACACAATCACTTTATCAGACAAATGTCTGGAGCTTACTTATGTAATTGTTCCCATTATTACTAGTTAATTACATTAATTCTATATGTGTTTATAGTCAGGTGACGTTTAAGGCCAATGGCCCTCCTGTATCATGTTATGTTAATAGAATTAGGCACATTCAAGACGTTCTTCTCGAATGACAAAAGACAACAGGAAACTGTGACATGAAAAATAAGGGGACATTTTAGCGTCACCTCAATGGAATAGCCACATTGAAACATCGGAATAAGTCTACCGATTTGAGCCATGATCTACTGTTATGTGTCCGACATGTTATATTTATATCAGTAACAGATAGGTAGGTACAATACCGTATTTTATTTCATTCTTAACTTACTCGCATAAAAAATCATATTTCTACCAGGTACGGGAACACACGTGTGGATGGACATCAATGACAGGAATATTGAAGGAACATTGATGTTTTCAGATAACACTCTAGTACCACTGCCTCACTACTGGTTACCAGGTGAACCATATCCTTCCTCGAAAGACGCCTCCGACTGTGTCGGAATATGGCCCAACAAGAAATTATGGGACGATCTACCTTGCGGCAATGTTGCATATTACATCTGTGAAATAGTTTTGTCTTAAACTCTTCTTTACAACAAAAACGTCTTACTTCTTTCGTATCTTATTATTTTACCTAAGTTGTTGTCGGGGAATGTAAAAGATGGAACTTTGTTTTGTTTTTATCTAGAACTAGATATTGTAGAGCCGGATGATGAACAAAAAATATCGCACAGCTGTTTTCTCATTCTTAGACTCGTCAGTGTTGTCAAGTGTCGCAATTTTGAAACCGAGTACTTTACAGAGGAAAATGAAAATTTATCGATAGCAATGTGATAATCCAGATGATGATGTGTACATATCTGTGGCGCGGGGTAGTTTAGTGATGATGTACGATTCAGGTCTCAAGCGTATTCAATTTTAAATCTAATAATTAGCTATATCTTCAATTACGTCCATCGCGACATATTGTTAACAGGACAGTGATCGCGGGTTTCAGATGGACACAATAGCCAAACCGAACCATTCACATCACCTAAAACAATATATTGGTCGGTTGTTCAATTACCGTCGTGTTTCCCGATATGATCAATGTTTTAATGTTTGTTTTGGGAGAAAAAAACTCGTTACGCATACAACATTTATGTTTTAAAAAAACATCAGAATCTCCCTTTTGGCCAATGACGTACAAAACAGTATAAATATATTTATAAGAAGTGAGATACTCCCATCCCACTAAGTGAGCATTCCACTCATTCGGCTTAAGACGTGCCTGCTCTACTGTAACCGTAAATTATTAATGTGTAACGCTTGAATGAATTTTTATTGCTTTCCTTCACTTAAGTTCTTTTTTCTGTTTTCTTAACTTTATCATGAATATATTTATTTTTGCTAGTTTATTTTATTGTCTGTTTGTTTGGTTTTTTTTTTTGGTTTTTTTTTTTTTTTTTTTGTTTTTTGTTTTGTTTTGTTTTGTTTTGTTTTTTATTTACTCCTTTTCGATTGTTTTTTTTTTTTTTTTTTTGTTTCACCTAAACCTAAATGAATACTTGTTTGTTTTTACCGAAATCTTATGAATGGGACATTACTGTATTAATGAAATGTTTATTGTGCAATGAATTAGTTTTTAGAAATTGTGATCCATTCTCGAAGGTAGCAAATATAGATCTGGTGAACAATATGTACATTTCTCGCTCGAAAATTTCTTACGTCAAGTATCCAGTGAAACTTAATGTAATATTGGAATACACTGTTTTTCTTTTTGAAAAATGTAGTGAATTGTATGTCAATATAACCAAATTGTACTATTTTTTAATCATTATTTGTTATTTTCAAACTACGTTATGAATGCAATAAAATTCATTTTTTTATTGAAATCATTGTTGTGTATTGTAAATAGGCCAGTTTTATCGTACATTATCACATGTAATGTTTTCGATGAAAACAAATGTTTGCACAGGGATAATCACTATGCCAAATATATATCATTTTGATCAACATAGACTATATCTGTACGTTTGAAAGAAAAAGTTCATCTTCCTCAAACTATCAGAATGATAATTTCTATCAACAGAAATAATAACTGCAGGTCTCGTTCTAGTCTTTATTGTGTATTGTTAATAAGGAACTAATCTGCAATATCTGATCAGAGCCTGATTCAGGTATTAACCAGATCGTCATCGGTTGTCCAGGATACGAACCATACCAAGATGGCTGCATCCACCGCAAGCTCCATCGCATCATTAAGGATGTACTTAATTGAAGACTTATGCGCTATCTGTTGATTTTGATTTTTCGTTTTTGTAAATTATCTATAACACTGCTTCTGTCGCCTGTTCATTCCAGTCTGCACATATGATATTCTTAGATTCAACCAACAGTCAACAAGCCCTATCATTTAGCTCATCTGGGATCAGTGAAAAAAAATTATCAAGGATATTTTTATCGGAAATATGATCAGTTGATGTACCATAGAGTTTATATTTTCGATTATCAAAATTTTCAAGTCGATTTAGCGCGGACGTTTTGAACAGGAATATGATTTCATTTACATATCTTATATTTGATGTTCAGCTTGTCTGTTTCCACGTTTGTATTCCATCGTCAAAATTGCCAAAATGGAAAAGAAACCAAACGAAGAAATAAAACTTTGGAATAGCAAAAATAAGAATTAAAGAAATTTCTGGTTGTTCAAATAAATTTCCAAATCAATATCGTATCGGTTTTCAATTTCAGTGTTATCGTACAAAGACCTGAAAGTATTATTTCAGACGATTTTTATCATATAAACATGGCCAATGTCAGTCAATTCCTGCACTTATCGATATATATCTACTATATCAATACAATCAAAAACATCTTTATGGGTATTGTGATACTGCAGGTTTGATGTAAGCATTGTTTGAAATACTTCAATGCATTATAAATTATTTATGGTTTCTTTGACAAACCATAAAGCCTAGCCAAAGAGTTCTTTACCGCAATGAGCGCTTATAATGGCATATTGATCGGTTTGATTGGCCTTCGCTAAGTAAAATGTCGGTATAAAGTTACCTTACCCTTAGAATATTGGTATCTAATAACTAGTACAATAATCCCAGCGGATGTTAATAGTGATGCCGAGAGCCACCTATCTGGTATGTCTGAACTCTCAGTCACCTTAAGTATTTAATTATTTACCTGTAGTCCGGGTGTGCTACCAGTATATATTTTATCAACTTGTATTCCTATCTAAATTCCAGAGCATCCATTAGTGAAGTTGGGACACCAACATTCGAATTCTATCACTCTAATTATGTAAGCTTACTCATCAATAATGTCTTATTCACATCATAATTATTTCAAAATCTCAACTTTGTGTGATAATTATTAGATTGTTGTGATAACTAACATTAAGACAAAAATAAAATTTAATCGATGATTGTAACAAATATACACTGGTAGATAGCACATTAAAAAACAAAAAATACAAACAAACAAACAAACAAACCACAGAAGGATCGTTTTATTGGTCACATTTTCACAATCCTATTGAAACCTTTGAGGTGACCGATTGTCATAACTTGCGCTTACATGTGTATGATGCTATTAAATAGGCAATGACAAATTTCAAATGTTCTTACATCACTTATCAAACAATTCTTAATATCAATCATCGGTTTCCTTTGTAATCATACATCAATACAACCTTAATAAAATGTAGGTATATCCTCAAACAAGCGTTGCTTCCAAACTTATATGATTCTTCACTACATTTCTCTGAACTATTAACCTGTCACTCAACTTCCATAATAAATTTTAATCAATCACTTCCTCGCTTCAATGTTCGTTGTACACATGCGTAGTTTAGTTATATTGTATGAAATAGTAACCTGTACGTAATTAAGGACATTATAATATAGCAAAATTCAAAAAGTTATTAGTATTTGTTTTCAAAATTAAACATTATTTTTGGCAAGTTCAAATGAATTATTTATTAATTATAACAAAATTAATAAAATTAAAAAACAACAGACATTCAACACAGTCTGCTACCCGTGCCTGCTAGAGATACCGTTGTGTAAATATCCCTAGGGGATCGAAAAAAGTGATGCATATTATATAATCATATACTGTTATTGTTATCCGTTCATCGGGATCAGTCACACGCTTGAATGTCTCCATGTGGTTTATCACATCCTGACTTATTATATTACCGCAGCAATACGGAGAAGTAGCCAAAGTTAGTCGTATGCCCTGGTCTACTAATGATTTCCACTTCCGGTTGACGCGGTTACGGAACTAGCCGGGTAGTGGTGATGGCAACTGGCTGCATTCATGTTTGTTAACAATGTTTGTTAGGATAGTGAAAACCATCCTAAGGGGAATATATAGAGAAATAAAGCCATAAAGGTTGGGTTTCAGTTAATGTTAAAACTCCCTTATTGACCTCCCACACCCAGATGTCTAATAGCAATACAGAATATACACTTGAATTTTCATCATTAAGACAACATTTTCAGTTAACTAACCATGTAACTTGTTTTTGTGCCATTTTTTTTTCATTTCACGAACTCATCTTGCGTTACCGTCCTGAAAGAGTGTTCCTTGTTTAATAAGTTTTGTAATAATATACCGATACTTTAAACAACTTTGGATGAAACAAACTTTGTCAAACATTTTGATTGACCTAAAACTAGTTTCTATATAGTATACATCACCAGATAGAATTTGAATAGAAAACAAATTCGCGTTTTTTTTTAAATTTCTTTTTTTAACTGTTTAAGCGAAAGAAGTAAAAAGTTTTCGATTAAATAAAAGCGTTTCCTATCATTAAATGTATATAATTATATAATAATAAATGGACATTATTATCAAATAATTATTTGAAAATTTTAAGGTGTAGATATACTTTATTTTCGTTAATTTTAGAGAAAATTGTTATTCTATAATGCCGAAAAAGCCTGAACGATATGTTTCTTTTTGATTGAAGAATACTTATACGATATTCTAATGCAGAGATTGTTCTCATAGAACACGAGAAAACTCAAATCTCATATCAACATATTTTTTAAGCCTGCAAAAGCCACGTCTCTTAGTTATAAAAGTCAATATCGATGTGTAATCAAAAGAGTGAAAAGAGATGTCCGGAGTGAAGTGGTATCAAAGATCAGCATTTCTTCAAAGAAAAGTACCAATATAAGGAAAAAACTAATTCTCAATTTAAGTGGGGGAAGATTATAGTTCGCATATAAGAAAATTGTGAAAAGACCAAAAAAGTTGGTGTATCCATCTTCATTTCCATCACCACAATGACAGGCCGCTGTTGCCTACGCGGATTAAAAAATATCTCCTACCACTCCCCTATTTCCGACATTAAAATATGGTGCTAAGATGCATGACACAGGCGATACTCCATTGCTTAGGCTATATGAAGAGGTGATAAATAACTAATGAACACGTCTAATCTATGTGTTTAGTAGTTGTCTGGGTTATTGAGTTCATGATTTCGATGGTTTGCTCTTGGAAGAAGCAGATTATAAAGGTAATTTGGAGATGATTTATTACGATTCTTAAATAGAAAGTAAAACGTTTATATATTTTTT